ACCGAATCGAAAATCTGTTGGTTCTCAATGTCTTCTCAACGATGTAGTATCTACAGCCTAGCTTGGTTAGGATGATGTGACAAGGTTTGGGTGACATATTCGTAAAGCTCCAAGTCAGGGGCCTTATGCACTGTGTACCCCACAGCTACTGTAGACTACTGTAGGCCTCAACAGCAGAGCCCCTTTGGTACACAGCATAGGATGGTGGAAACATTGGTCAATCCACAGGCACTAAGAGACGAGGAGGAAAGCTGCCTGGTTGAATGCGTGTGCGTGTGTGTTTTTAGCTTGCACGGTGGGTGCCAACATGAACCCAGAAGGCAGTGGTTCGGAGGCCCCTCGTATGTACAGTAGGCCTATAGAGTACCACAGTATGAGTCATAATCGTTTTTCCACCATTAATTTTTCCTATAGGGGATTTTAGAAATACTTCAAATAAGGGTTGTGTAAATCTCTCTAGGACAAGGTGACTTTTATCAATATATTTGCCTGTATTTAACCCCCAAAAATGAAATGCTATTATGATGCTAATGTGGCTATCATAAATAACCTAAAATGCCATGATGATCTAGACGAGACTGCCAAATCGAGGCAAAGGTAAGAATCTCTGGATTAACTATCTAATGTTAGCTACATTAAGTAATGAATAAATTGGCAAAATGTATTTAAATGGACAATTATGTAAACGGTCTTGTGCATGTTTTTATCTAAGGTTATCTCAAAAGGCACTGGAGACGCCAGACTAGGGGCAAACAACAACAATAACAAGGGGTTCTCTCTGTCAATATGTTAGAAAATATTAGCTTTATGAACGCTACATCAAATTCTCAGCAATGCTCATGTTTTCTTTGGCCAATACTACACTATTGAGCTGATACAAATTAAGGTGATGTGAAAGTAACATCCTAAAAGAGTATGGACTAAATGTTATGTTTCAAATGATAGTTCATCATCTCATCACCAAATGTGAAGTTACAGAAATGGCCCAATAGGAGGCAATGTGGGTCAACTATTGATGGCTGTTCAAAGCCAAAGAATCACTTTGTAATTCGTTTCCTTGTGCATACATGCATTTCAGACAATCAAAACATTCCTCTTACTGTAGCTTCCAAGGCAGCCCAATTTATAAATAGCACATTCCCAAGGTGTATGAATTCATATAGTGTTAGAACGTGAGCGCAAACTACAACTAAGTACTGTACTAACACTGGAGAGGGAAACCATGGTCCCAACACCTGCCAACCCAATAATACCATGTCTTACCTAACCTCATATATCCAATACACCACAGTAACAGTGTTAAGATACTGCTATAACACTGTACAAGAAGCAACACATCTAGCTAATGTCAATAACTATTGTCATTAGTTATTCACATGTACACATATTCCTGTGTACCGTATCCTCAATGTTATTCTGATATCCCAATGATGTTACCTTTAGGCTGTACTCAACCCAACTGAACGTATGAGAATAATATTATATACAATTACAATATTAGGACTGACTTTAGAGGCTTCACACATAATAGACAGAGGCTTCAATGTCAGTCACGAATACCTTGATACTACAGCTGAGCCCAGTTTGTCTTTGTATGTGAACATAATGAGAAAGATACACACTCAATAAAGCCCAGAAATCCATATGGACAGTTAAGGGAGAAAGGAAGATCCCATGCTACAAAATATCACGTTTTTAAAACAACCTTGTTAAAGAAGTAGTCCATGCCAAGCACAAAAAGTCAGAGCTAAAAAGACACAAAATAAAGGAAAGTTCAATCTAATACTAAAAATTGGAGAAAAGTGCTATTACAATACCAAAATTAGGCCACGATGCAGAAATAATAACCACATCACACAAGTGTTGAACAGCATTCACACAAGGCAGCCAGTATCCTCAAAGTAAGCTTTAGCATCCCCTAGATCAGAAGTGTCTAAACCTTGGTCTCTAGGGCATTACAGAGGGTAATCTGCCCTGCTAGTTTGTAGTGGCTGACTAAATCAGTTTCCCAAACAGGAACAGACTCAGAGAACTTACAATACTAACAGCACCTTCACCTACTAACTTGAGGCCTGTGTTTTTACTGACCACCCGAAGACCCAGAGACTTTCCGGGAGCAGCGCTGGGGTCTGCAGCCCCAGAGGGAGACTCAGACGTGGGAGGAAGACGAGGGAGAGTCCAGCCTCTCTGGCCTGGGTGGGTGAGACTGGGTGTGTAAGCATTACCAGAGACTGAATCAATCAGCTCTGCTATTATCCTTTGCAGAACCTGTCTGCAACTGTATACCACTACCTTACACTATACTACATTGTACATTTTGAGTATACTCTGCTTTCTAATAGTGGATGTGCACTTTAGTGATTTAGCAGACGCTCTTATCCAGAGCGACTTACAGTTAGTGAGTGCATACATTTTTTCATACTGGCCCCCCGTGGGAAACGAACCCACAACCCTGGCGTTGCAAGCGCCATGCTCTACCAACTGAGCTACAGGGGACCTTCCATGAGGGAAGGCTTTGTAGGGCCTGTCTACCATTAGTAAGACAACTCTAATAGCTAATCCTTGGGGCATTGAAAGGGGTCATGGAAGTCAAATATCTCTATGTCCCCATGTCAACCCCAGATTCATGTTCCAATATCCCAGTCTGAAATAGGGGCGCTAGGACTATTTCAGTGTTACAATTCCAAATATGCAGGTTTGCAGTTTTTTTTTTTTTTTAGGTTAAAATCAGCCCGATTCGCACTTGGGTCTCGTGAGATCCTATCACACAGTTATTTCAGTCGCTGTTGATGACTCGAACACACCTCCCGTGAAGAAAAGCAAAACAAGCCACACGTTTCACGCCATCCATCTATCTCCCACAGTCACCTGGGTAAAGCCGGGGGTGGAAATCTCAAACCCACAAATAGAACAAAGGTGCTAAAGAGATTCAGCCCCAAAGCATAAATAACTAGCACAAAGAAGACAATAAAATACAGTAATAATGCTTTGTTGGTTATTGTTTTCTTATTTCAACACGCCTGTTGTAATACACCTTGTCTTGGATTAATGAAGACCTTAAAGGTGCAGTGGGTTACTAAGATTTTCTCAGCAGTCCAAACTCCAACTCCATAGCATTCAACTAAAAGATAGAACTGCACATTCAATCAAAAGCAAACACATTCCCTTTGTTAACAACCGATTGAAACAGCACACTCCCTCACAATGAAAATAGAACTGCACTCTGCAGCCCAAGAAATTACAAGCAAGTGAAATATTTTGGTCTAATACTGCATTGAAAACTATGTAGTTAAATAAATGTAAAGATTCAACTTCAAAAATGTATAATACTATGAATATATTCACTAACGTAATGTCTATTAGACACCTTTGAATAAGAAAAAAAATTACCCTAGTGCATCACATCTGAATGTAACACTATATGTGTAGATTTGAAAGACTTCCGTATATTAACACTGATGACGGACTGGGCAGACATTAAAAAACGAGTGGACCGAAAAGACAGGTACAAGTATGTGTGTGTCATAGACATACTGTCTTTATGTAGACATCCTGAGCACCATTTTCATTTCCAGCTAAAGGAGTGGAAGTCCTGCAGGGACACCTGGGTTTTACCTGACATTGCAGCTTTATAAAAACATGCTGAGAGAGGGATCAAAAAGTTATCTTCCTTCATTCCTAATACCTTATTCCCTTCCTCCCCGTATCTGCCATGTTATGGAGGAGGCGAGGAGAGGAGGGCAAGGAGCCAGGAGGGAGAGAACATGTCACAGCTTCATTTTTGGTATAATACCTGTGCTTCAACACTCAGTGAGGACAAAAGACTACAGTTGACTTTCAAATACAACTGGAATAAAATAAAGTTAAAAGAAACTGGAATCAAGGATATACGCAGGCAGGGGAGAAAACTCCTGGTTGCTCCTGGTAAGGGTTGATGATGGAACCCTGAGCAGTGCTGCCCCCTGTGGTATGGGGAAGTTAAGGCAGGCTGGCTGAGGGGCACCCTAGTGGTCAATCAAGACGGAGCAAGAAGAAGTCTGTTCAGTTCTGCTTCTTACTCCCTCCCATGGCAGTGATATAAAATAGCCATCTGATCCAGAATTGCTATCAAGTGTTCACTTTGAATGTCATTGAGGGGAATTTGGTCAGTTTGGTCAGCACTGTTGGCCTCTCCTCTTGGTGTTATGTGGGGGTTTGGGGATCACGATGGGTGCTTGAACCACAAACCACCTCCTGTGCTGGAGCAGGAACCTAAACCCAGACTACCACCTCTACTGCCCCTCCCTTGGACAGCTGATTCTAGAACAGTCTAGGGCAACATTTGGGATTCAAACCTCCAACATGGAGCTTCACTGGGATGAAACCCGAGAGAAAACAAAATGGTGTCAAACCGGTCCAAAATGGAGGACAAAGTCTGTGGAAGAGAAGTCAGACAGGCATAGGTTATGGTCAGAGACTCTGAGGCAAAACACCCAACTCTGGGATGGGCTCTACTCTAATTTCAAATCCCTAAGCGAAAGAAAACCAAACAAAAGCATCCTTCCATGTGTGTTGGAGCAGCGCTGGTGCCCCCTGGCTGCTGGTCTTGTCCAGTGCGCTAACAGTCTAAATAGACGTCAAGTCAGAGGTAACCTCCCCATAGGGGAGTCTTAGCAGTGGTCTGTGGAATGGTCTTTAGCGTCTGTGTGACTGAGGGGCAGAGAGAGAGCCCTTTTGTACCCAGTCTCGTCACCCCCAGGCTGGTGGGTGGATCTCAGGGGCAGGAGGCAGCACTGGACTGGTCACTGAGGCCCAGCGAGGTGAGGCCACCTTGGGCACAGAGAACTGCCCACGCCTATACCCACCCACACACACACACACACAATCGTACAGAAGGGAAACTTGGCTCTCCCGTCATGGAGGGGTGGTAGGCTCATAGCTGGCCTCCTAAGTCTGGGGTGAGAGGTCAGAAGCAGGAGGGGTCATGGAGGGGTCATGGAGGGGTGACAGCCTCAGGAGACGTGGGGCGAGGAGGACGGGTGTCTGGAGAAGCACCAGCCTCTCTTGGTGCGCTGCTTGCGTAGGATCTCCTCCTCGCGCTCGCGCTCCTTCTGAGAGCGCAGGTAGCGGTCCTCCTCCTTCAGGAACCACACTGGTGGCCAACGTTGCTTCTCAAAGTGCCTCTGGTTATCTACACGCAGAGAGAGGGGGGGAGATCAGAATAAATTGATTATTAATTGAAAGGGAGAGAAAGTAAGAGATACATACATAGATATAGAAAGAGAAAGAAATCGTTAATATAAGGGACCAAAAAGCCACGTGAGAAACGAGTGAGAGATGGGGAGCGATGTTGGGGATTGGAGGTGGGACTATAGGTACAAAGGAGCTGAACAATTTGTTGAGAATAGAGTGGACGAGGAGACACACAAAGAGGTAGAGAAGAGAGAGGGAATGCAGTCTGTACCTGGAGACATGACCTTCATGTCTTTAGGGAACTTGCGACAGATGCTGTTGTAGTTGGTGCAGATGTGATGGAGACACCAGGCAGACAGCTGCTTGGCATTGTGGAACTGCAAGGGATGAATGAATAGGTGAGCAGTCCATCAAAAAGGTCCAATGAAAAGAAAGACCTCAAACTTTCTTACTTTACAAATAAGAAAGATGAACTTGAATGGGAAGTGGACAAATGACTTTAAAAGATGAATGTCACCTGTCATTGTAGAACAACGTTTTCTACAGTTGGGTATCTGATATAGGCCTGAGTTATAGGGTGGTCCGATCCTTCTTGGATATCAGTTAGAATGTTCTCTCCAGTGAAATAGTATTTTCCTAACAACAACATGTAGTATTTGTATTATGTGTAGTATGTGTATTGCAGTAACAGTGTCATCAGTACAACTGTCATTCAGAGTATATGGTACGTGTAAAGACTCACCTGAGCCAACTCCAGGTAAGCCAGCACGTGTCCGTCAATCTCCACTCCCTTCTTCGCCCACTGGAGCAGCTCATCCACAGCATGCTGCTCTGTGAGGGCAACAAGGCGTGGCAGACACAGTCGGTTGGATAGGATGATGAGCTCAATAGGCTCCAGGTCAGGACAGGGCGAAAGCAGCCCACAGTACATGAACTCCAACACTGCACGCATACAGGAGCTACTGGTGTCAGGGATGGACACCTGGAGTGAGGGTGAGAGGGGGAGAGAGGGAGTGAAAAAGATGGAGAGAGAGAGATTAAAATTTAGTGAATTAGAAAATAATAATACCAGGTCTTCCAGTAGTTATTTAAGTGATAATGCCTGAGAAGCCGGTGTTTGGAGGATAAATTGGCACGTGTGTTGTTATGCCTGAGACTACGTTTATGAGTATACATTTGTTTACATCCCTGTTAGTTTTGAGGGAGCGTGCAATTGGCATGCTCACTGCAGGAATGTCCACCAGAACTGTTGCCTGAGAATGTCATGTTCATTTCTCTACCATAAGCCGCCTCCAACGTCGTTTTAGAGAATTTGGCAGTATGTCCAACCAGCCTCACAATTGCAGACCACGTGTAATCACGCCAGCCAAGGACCTCCACATCCAGCTTCTTTACCTGCGGGATCGTCGGAGACCAGCCAACCGGACAGCTGATGAAACTGAGGAGTATTTATGTCTGTAATAAAGCACTTTTGTAAGGAAAAACTAATTATGATAGGCTCATGTGAAATCCATAGATTAGGGCCTAATTAATTTATCTATTATTGACTGATTTCCTTATATGAACTGTAACTCAATAAAATCGTTGAAATTGTTGCATGTTGCGTTTAGATTTTGTTCAGTATAGATTGATATATAGTCCTATATTTAGATGTCCTAGCCTACCTGTTTCAGGTAATACATTCAATGCAGCCTTATATTTAGCTAATTCATGATTGGTTATGCATAATAAGCTTCTAACTTATAGCCTTTGTCTCTTGCGCAATACGCAAGCACCTGTGTTCTGCTGGCCTCTCCTTAAAAAACGCTCCTTAGCTCTTGTAGACCCATGCAGGAAAAGCTAGACTAGAATAGCATGCTGGACATGATTGTTTTAGCATTTCTTATACCAATAGCCTATTCGAAGGGACGCAAGCTCTTTTTCGCTGAATGTTAAATACAGTAGCCCAATAGAACTCACGGGTAGTTTGAAAGAAGAGCGAACACACGATGGCAGTCTATAGCAGTTATTTATTCAGATCCACAAGCATTCAATCTTCGTGAAGAGAAGTGAAAGACTTCTGCATCTAATTCTAGTCCTATAAGCCAGGCCTGGTATTTAAAGCGGATTTTGAAAAGGCCTTTGATAAAGTAAGACTGGATTTTATTTATAAATGCCTGGATTTTTTCAATTTCGGTGATTCTCTTAAAGAATGGGTCAAAGTAATGTATAGCAATCCCAGGTGTAAAATAGTAAATAGCGGCTACTTCTCAGAGAGTTTTTAATTATCAAGATGAGTTAAACAAGGGTGTCAGCTGTCACCATATCAATTTGTTATGGCCATTGAAATGCTAGCTATTAAAATCAGATCAAATAACAACATTAGAGGATTAGAAAAAGTTTCCATGTATGCCGATGACTCAAGTTTTATATTAAGTCCGCAAGCTAGATCCCTGCAATGTCTCATTGAAGATGTAGATAACTTTTCTGGACTCTCTGGACTAAAACCTAGTTATGATAAGTGTACAATATTACGTATTGGATCTTTAAAAAATACAACTTTTACATTACCCTGCAGTTTACCTATAAAATGGGCTGACGGTGAAGTAGACATACTTAGTATTCATATCACAATATATATAAATGCGCTCTCCACAATGAATTTCAATAGAAAACTTGTAAAAATAGACAAGATCCTGCAACCATGGAGAGGTAAATACCTGTCTACTTATGGAAAAATTGCCCTGATTAACTCCTTAGTCATATCTCAGTTTACTCACTTACTTATGGCGCTGCCTACTCCTGATGATTTGTTTTTCAAATCATATGAGCAAAATATATTTCGCTTTATCTGGGATGCTAAACCAGACAAGATAAAGCGTGCCTATCTATATAATGAATATGAACTGGGTGGGTTGAGATTATAACATATAAAAGCACTAAACCATCCTCTAAAATAATCACTTATTCAAAAGTTTTTTTGGAACCCTAAATGGTTCTCAAGTAGATTACTAAGAAAAGCTCATCCATTGTTTAAAAATTGCCTTTTTGCCTTTGTGCAGATTGCCATGTCTCATTTCCGATTAATTGAAAATAATATTTTTTTCAAAGTCTCTCTTTTTTTCAAACAAGCATTGCAGAGCTGGCTACAATTTCAATTTCATCCCCCTGAAAAGATAGAACAAATAATACAACAAATATTATAGCTGAACTCAAATGTGCTGGTTGATAAAATACCTGTATTTATGGAAAATATTTTTGAAAAGGGTATTTTGTTTTTAAATGATATAGTACATTTGAATGGTAGAGTTATGTCTTTCATGGAGTTATCAGAATTATATGGGAAGGTCTGCTCAATCCAAGATTACAACCAATTGATTACAGCATTACCTCAAAAATGGAGGAGGCAGTGGGAGGAGGTAGGGAACTGGTCTGTCTGCCCAATATAAAGGATCAAAACTGGCGGAGGAATAAAAATAGCATAAATAGGAAAGTATACCAGTTTCATTTGAGGACCAGGATGTTGACAGCTGTGCCATACAGATTGCAAAATAGTTGGGAAGAGATTTTTGATGTACTGATTCCATGAGTTGATATATAAAACGACGCAAGATTCAAGACTTTGTGTTTATCAGCTAAAATTAGCCACCAACAAAATGTTGAATATTTGGGGCATACAATCATCGAAGCTCTGCAGATTTTGTTGTGAGGACACACAATCAATAGACCATTTATTTTGGTATTGCCCTCAGGTAGCCTGTTTCTGGTCTCAGGTTCAGGAATGGCTGAAAATACATAACATTGATCTAAAATGTACCCTAGAAATAGTACTGTTGGGAGATCTGGAGAGACAGGGTCAGTCAATTACTAATATACTAATACTCTTAGTAAAAGTATTTATCTTCAACTCGCTGTCACGCCCTGGCTCTGGGGACTCTTTAATGTTGAGCCAGGGTGTGGATTTTCATTGTTTAGTTTTCTATGTTTTTTGTTCTAGATCGTTTAGATCTATGTTGGCCAGGGTGGTTCCCAATCAGAGGCAGCTGTAGCTCGTTGTCTCTGATTGGGGACCATACTTAGGCAGCCTGTTGGCACCAGTTAGTTTGTGGGATCTTGTTCCGTTAAGGTTTGTTTTGGTAACCTAGGACTTCACGTATCGTTTGTTTGTTGTTTTGGTTCGTGTGTTAAGTACTAATAAATTTGTACACTTATCACGCTGAGCCTTGGTCCGTCTCTTCCGTATACGATCGTGACAGAAGATCCCACCTAAAGAGGACCAAGCAGCGTGTCCAGGAACAGACAGCCTGGACTTGGGAGGAGATCCTGGACGGGAAGGGATCCTGGACTTGGGAAGAGATTCAGGCCGGAATGGATCGCCGTCCTTGGGTGGAGACTGTGGAGGCGCGCTACAGAGAGGAGCAGCGGCAACGCAGAGGGTACCGGCCGAGGAGGAAGCCCGAGAGACAGCCCCAATAAAAATGTTTTGGGGGGCTAAAAGGGTGGTTGGCGGAGCCTAGAGTTAGAGCAAAGCCAACTCCCCGTACTCAGGCTAGGAAGCGTGAGACTGGGCAGGCTCTGTGTTATGCGGGTGTTCCGGCACAGTCCTGTACGTCCGGTGCTAGCACCACGCACGTGTCGTGCCGGCTCAATGCTCGTGGCCTCCAGTACGCCTCCTCGGTCCCGTATATCCTGCGCTAGTGCCACGTGCTGTAGCGCCAGTACGAGTGCACAGCCCTGTACGTCCTGTGCTAATGCCTCACACATATTGTGTGGAAATAGGCATTCAGCCAGGACGGGTTGTGTCAGCTCTCCGCTCCAGACCTCCAGTCCGCCTCCACAGTCCGGCCCGGCCCGTTCCGGCTCCCCGCACCAAGCCAGTGGTGCGTGTTCCCAGTCCAGCCCGGCCTGTTCCTGCTCCCCGCACCAAGCCAGTGGTGCGTGTTCCCAGTCCAGTCCGGCCTGTTCCTGTCCCGCGCACCAAGCCAGTGGTGCGCGTCGCCAGCCCGGTCCGGCCCGTTCATGCTCCCCGCGCCAAGCCAGTGGTGCGTGTGTCCAGTCCGGCACGGCCAGTGCCTGTTCCACCAGTGCCTGATCCGGCACCGGTCAGCTGCTCCACTCCGGAGTCAGAGCAATCCGCTCCACCGGTGTCCAGTCCAGCTCCGGCCAGCGGCTCCAGTCCGGAGACGGTAAGGTTTTGTCCACCGTCGTCGGGTCCAGCTCCAGTCAGCGGGGCAAGACCAGACCAGGGGCGCAACGGGGAGGTGGAGAAAAGGTGGTGGTCACGCCCGGGGGCCGGATCCACCTCCGAGGCGGAATGCCCACCCGGCCCCTACCCTCTTGTGTTTGTGTGGCGCGGTCGCAGTCCGCGTCTTTGGGGGGGTTACTGTCACGCCCTGGGTCTGGGGACTCTTAAATGTTGAGCCAGGGTGTGGATTTTCATTGTTTAGTTTTCTATGTTTTTTGTTCTAGATCGTTTAGATCTATGTTGGCCAGGGTGGTTCCCAATCAGAGGCAGCTGTAGCTCGTTGTCTCTGATTGGGGACCATACTTAGACAGCCTGTTGGCACCAGTTAGTTTGTGGGATCTTGTTCCGTTAAGGTTTGTTTTGGTAACCTAGGACTACACGTATTATTTGTTTGTTGTTTTGGTTCGTGTTTTAAGTACTAATAAATATGTACGCTTATCACGCTGCGCCTTGGTCCGTCTCTTCCGTATACGATCGTGACACTCGCAATCTGTGGATTCTATTGAATTAGATAGATTGAAATTATATGTTAAACATCACAGCATAGTTGAAAGATATATGGTGCGTAGAAATCCGAAGAGGGGGGCCAGCAGAGATAGGTGGGATGGGCTGAGGGAAGCTGAGGGTTGGGATGTGGAATTGGAGACAAGTGGGAGTGGAGTTGCTGGGCGGGGGATAGAAGGACGGTCAAAGTTAAAAGTAAAAAAAAAGAATGTCAAAATAAAACATAACAAAAAGTAAGTTTGAATGACACTGAG